CACCCCTTACTCACCAATTTTAAATAAAATTATATTTTCTTCCAACTATAATATATCTCTAATTTTCTTAATATTTTTATAATATCTAACTAAATTAAATAATTCAACTAAAACTCTATTAAAAATAAAATATTAAAATTGTGGTGTTACACAAAATGTTTGATCCCTTGAACAAGCTAGTAATGATCAGCAAAGACGTGAACATAGACAAGATGAATGTGTGGGATTGGAAAGAAAATATCAATAAAGATTCAATGATAATCCTATGTGATGAATCAGCTACTGAGGCTGACACAGAATTTTGACAAGAAGAAGTCAGAGGTCAAGCAGGCACAAATAGACCTCAAAGAACTAGAAACATACTTGCAAGGTTGCAGGAATGTGTGATTACATCATATCATGTGTTCGATGATGAAGATGAACTTGTTCATTATGCTTTCTATGGAAATACTATGCAAGCTAGAGGGATACACCGACTTGATTTGGTGAAGTGATGTTAAGGATAAAAAAATCCACAACTGGGTATGTGTTTATGCTAGGTGGTGCACCACTTTCTTGGATTTCAATAAAGGAACCAATGATAGAGTTGTCATCATGTGAGGCTGAATAAATAGTTGTCTCTCTCTCTCTCTCTCTGTGCATGTCAAGCAATGTGGATGGTGAACTTGATCAAGGAGATTTTAGGAGAAGAACATGGAGCAATGACCATAAAGATCGATAATATGTTTGCTATCAATTTGGCCAAGAATACGATAGCGCATTGTAGAAGCAAACCCAACGAGATGACGTTCCATTATCTTCGAGAGCAAGTAGAAAATGGAAAGCTAAACTTGGAACATTGCAGAACTGAGAATCAGATTGCAGACATCATGACAAAGGTTGTGTAAGTCGAATTGTTCAAGAGATTGAGAAATTAGATACAATGAATTAGGTGGTATTTTAAATACGTAATTCTTTGTGTTAAGCATGGTGTAGGATTCGACAGCATTCGAAGTAGATAGTTGCCGAAAGAGTTAACCTCGACATAATTAAACTTATCATTTATTTTGTTTTGTTAGAGATTACTTGATGTTCAAGTAATCTCATATATAAATATGGAGGTACCATACTATTGTAAAAAGTTGAATAAGAAAATTTTAGTAAGAATAAACGTAGAGAAAAACTTTGCAGAACTTGATCCATCTTCTTCCCCTTTCTCTCAAACCCTAATTTCTCTTTTCTTCCCTTCACTTTTTCAAATTATTTTGTGGCAGAATCATCTTGCAAATAAGGCGTGGTTGAATCACTCAAGTGACGACTAACGAGTGAGAAATGAGAGCAGCAATCAATCAGAAAGATTGATTCGGATTATCTCCAAGATTGAGGTTTAATTCCAACATGATTTGTTTAAATTTTCTAGACCCATCTTTCAATACAATTTTTTGTTTTCTAAATTAGAGAGATTTTGGTTTTTAATAATAAACAAATCCTCAAAACCTTCTCACCTAAATTCATCTACTCTTTTCACTCAATTCTTCTCTTTTTCAAAGCTATCCCCTCCCTTCCTCTCCAAACTTCCATAACCTAAATAATCTATAAAAATAACCATTAAATGTGATCATTTTAAAAACCCTTACTTATATAATATTGGCAAAATTACACCAGAGGTCCTTTAAATTATTTAATTGTAACAGGTTAGTTCTAAAAGTTTTTCTTCTATAAGTCAGTCCATTAAGAGCAACTTTAGTGCAGGGTTGTTAAATCAAAATTTTGTATAGCTTACGTTAGTAATAAAGAATTTGCATTATAGTAGAGCTGACATGGCATCTAAGTGAACTAAAATTTAGTTCTCATTATCTATATAGTTAACTATGTGAAATATATTATAATATTATTTATTTAATTAATAAAATATTCCAACAGCATTAAAGTAATGACATGATATTTGAAAACAGTGGGGTCAAGTTTTGGTTTCTTATATACAACCATCATTAAAGTAAAAACTACTCAAATCAACTATAAATTTTTTAAATCCTACAAAACACTTTGGGCCCACAAAAAATATCTTAGTTTACCCATTTAGTTTACTCTCATTGAAGATGCTCTAAGTTATCTAACGTCTACACTATTGCCTTTTTTTTTAATGATTCAATTCCAAAAAATACATATGTGACATTAACGTGTGTGACATGTCACTAATGGTGTTGACATAGAATAAAATATAATTAATTAATATTTATTAAATAATTATAGGTGCGACATGTCACTGTATAAATGGTTAATTTATATAAAAAAATTCACTCAATAGGGTTAAAACCCATGTTTTCTTCGTAAAAATCAATGTCTTTATCAACTGAACTACTATAACATATAATTAATATATGCACGAAATCGTTTTAATAGTTTATTTTAACATCTGCACCAATTATTTTGCATTTGCAAATTTAGTAGCTATGCATCCCATGCATAACACCCTTATTATTTTACTATAATGTCGCTTAGTTTTCAATCCATTGTAACACATATTTTTCAATTTTCATTATTTTCTTGCATCATGACCACACTATGGATAAGGGTGTTAACATTCATATCCATCCTTAATAACAAATGTGCGCAGTGGATTTTATTTTACCTCAGTCTTAATATTTTAACAATGTGATTTGCAAATATATTTTCCATTAATTTCTTGTCTTAATGTTGCTTTATTTCACTCTTTTATTCATTATTGTACAGTAGACCAATTCAATGGAGAAATTAATCTTGTTATACTTCCTTTGGATGAGGATGAGGTCAGTTTTTTCTTTGCATGCCTTTGTTCGATTTAAGTAAACAAAGATTCAATTTGAATTTACTACAAACTCGAGGAGATAATCTGCTTCATATACTGTTAGGATTTTTTTGAGCAATTAATGATTCTTATGTATTTTTGATCCAAACCTTTTGGCATACCTTGTATGAAAAAGAAGAACATTGATTCCACCTTCTGTAGAATATGTAAATGAAAACTTGAAGCCAATACTTGAAGATGTTATATTTACACTAGTTTATAAAAGTTTTTTTTTTGTCATTTTTTTATGACAAAAATTAGTTATTAGTTTATTATTACATTAGTAGTTGAGGTTGAACCTGAACCTTATTCTCAAGCTATATTGGAGGTTGAATCCTGAATAAGCTGCAATGGATTGAAAACAAGCCAATACAATAAAGGCAAATGTTAAAACAAGTTATTAAAACTATTTCGTGCATATATTAATTATATGTTAAGTGGTTCAGTTGATAAAAATATTGTTTTTTTAAGAAGATATTGAACCCCATAAATATTTTGCAAAAATCTTTTTTAGAACTAATCTGTTACAATTATATAATTTAAAGGACCCTGATATAATTTTTCCTATAATATTATTAACTTTAAATGTTTTCTAACCGTTGATATTAATATGAATCTTAGTTGCATTTTTTATAAATATAATAAAGGTTTAATAATACTGTTATATATTAACCTTAAGTTTAATTTAATCTTTTAGTTTAAAAAGTCTTAATCTTTTATCTTTTCAAAATGTATATGTTGTCATTTTCTCGAATTTAGCAATAAATTATTTGAATTTTTCATTTTCACAAGAGAGAAAATGACTAAAATGGTGTTTTTTTATAGTTAAGCGACTATTATAGTGTTATTTTTTTATAAAATTAAGAGACTAATATAATCGGGACAAAAAGATACTAAACCTATAATAAAAGTCAAACTTGTTTACATTAAAATTTCAATTTTGTTGGTCAAATAAAATTTGCAATTATTTTCTTAATATTCTACATTACAAAAACTAGTAAAAATAAGAGAGATAAGAGGAAAGGATTACATGGGTTCGAACTTTATTGCCTAATCTGTTACAATTATATATAATTTAAAGGATGTCTGATATAATTTTATCTATAATATTATTAATTTTAAAAAATTTTCTAACGGTTAAGAGTAATATGAATCTTAATTGCATTTTTTTTTATAAATATAATAAAGGTTTAATAATACTCATTTGTCATATATTAACTTCAAGTTTATTTTAATACTTTAATTTAAAAAGTCTTTATATTAATCTTTTATTTTCAAAATGTATATCTTAGTCGTTTTCTCAAATTTAGTGATAAATTATTTAACTTTCCATTTTAACAAGAGAGAGATAAAAGACTAAAATAGTGTATTTCCTAATTAAATAATTAATATAGTCTTTTTCAAAATTAAAAGATTAAAATAATTGGACGGAACAAAAAGATATTAAATCTATAATAAAACTCAAACTTTTTTATATTAAAATTTCCAATTTTTTTGGTCAAATAGAATTTGCAATTATTTTCATTCGAAATTTTAATATTCTACGTTCTAGTATAAATAAGACATAAAAGAAATGATTTGGGCTCGAATCTCATTGAGTGCAAAAAAAAAAAAAATTTAAAACTAACCTTTTACAATAATATAATTTAAAAGATCTGTGATATAATTTTGTCTATAATATTATTAACTTTAAATGTTTTCTAACCATTGATATTAATATGAATCTTAGTTGCAATTTTTTCATAAATATAATAAAGGTTTAATAATACTCATTTTGGTGTCATATATTAACCTCAAGTTTATTTTAATCTTTTAATTTAAAAAATCTTATATTAATCTTTTATTTATTAAAATATATATGTTAGTCATCTTCTCGAATTTAACAATAAATTATTTTATTTTTCTATTTTAACGAGAGAGAAAAAAAAAAGACTAAAATGGTGTCTTACTAATATAATTTTTTTTTAAAATTAAGAGACTAAAATAATCCGACGTGACAAAAAGATACTAAATCTATAATAAAATTCTAACTTTTTTACATTAAAATTTCCAAATTTTGTGGTCAAATAAAATTTGCAATTATTTTCATTTGAAATCTAAATATTCTACATTACAAAAACTAGTATAAATAAGAGATCAAAGAGAGAATGATTCATAACTCAAATCATCTCAAGGTAGAGAAAAACAAAAAGAGATGAACAATCTTGCAGTGTTTCTGATTCTATCTCTTTCACTCTCTTATGCAGTTTCTTCTACTTTACTTGACAAGAGTTTCATGCAGTGCATGTTAACCAGAGTTAATAATGAAACTGTGTTTATTAACTCATCTTCGTTATTGTTTCCAAAAGTGTTGGAATCATTGGAACAAAATCCAAGATGGTTGAATTCATCAAATAAGCCACTTTTCATTGTTACACCTTCTCATGAATCAGAAATTCAAGCAACTATACTATGCAGCAAAGATATTGGATTGCAGGTTAGAGTCATAAGTGGTGGCCATGATTATGAAGGGTTGTCTTATATCTGTAAGACACCTTTCATCATGATCAATCTCGTCAACATCCGCTCGATTGATATTGATCTCGCCGATGAATCCGCTTGGGTTCAGGCAGGTGCAACATTAGGCGAACTTTACTACAAAATTTCCAAAGCAAGTCAAGTTCATGGATTCTCCGCAGGTAATTTGCTTCAATTATTTAACTATCTGCTAGCATAAACACGCGTAAAACTGTTCGATTAATTTCTTTTTCCGATTAGGGATATGTCCGAGCGTTGGAATAGGGGGACACATAAGTGGAGGAGGGTTCGGTACTTTGTCTAGGAAACATGGTCTAGCCGCGGATAATGTTATCGATGCTTACTTAATAGATGTAAATGGAAAAATTCATGACAGAAAATCAATGGGAGAAGAACTTTTTTGGGCTATAAGAGGAGGTAGTGCTACAAGTTTCGGAATCATTCTTGCATGGAAGATAAAGTTAGTTAAAGTTGCATCTCTTGTTACAGCATTCAGCATCGAAAGAACATCAGAACAAGAAGTAACAAAGCTTATTCATAGATGGCAATACATAGCAGATAAACTTGATGAAGATCTTTTCATTAGAGTAGTTGCTCAAAACAATGGTCCAAATTCGAAAACAATAAAAGCAATTTTCAACTCACTTTTTCTTGGAGGAAAAGAAAGGTTAATCACTATAATGAATGAGAGTTTCGCTGAGTTAGGGTTACAGGAAAAAGACTGCAATGAAATGAGTTGGATTCAGTCGACGTTGTACTTTGCAGGATACAAAGAATCAGATCCTTTAGAACTTTTGTTGAACAGAATTACAAACTTTAAAAGCTCATTCAAATCAAAATCTGATTATGTGGAAAAGCCTATACCAGAAACAGGTTTAGAAGGTATCAAGAGAATGCTTCAAGAACAAGACTCATTAGCATTACTGATAATGGAACCTTATGGTGGAAAAATGAGTGAAATATCAGAAACTGAAATACCTTTTCCACATAGAAAGGGAAACTTGTACAATATACAATACATGGTTAAGTGGGATAAGAATGGAATTGAAGAATCCAATAGAAATATCGAATGGATGAGAAAGGTTTATAGATATATGACTCCTTATGTTTCAAAGTCTCCAAGGGGTGCATATTTCAACTATAAAGATCTTGATTTAGGTAGCAACAAGAATAATGGTATAACAAGCTACTCAGAAGCAAGTGTTTGGGGGATGAAGTACTTTAAAGGAAACTTTAGAAGGTTGGCACAAATTAAGACTAAATTTGATCCACACAATTTTTTCAACAATGAGCAGAGTATCCCACTTACATAATGAGCACTACTCTTACAAGAAGTGTTAAGTGATCAAATATCTGTTACTACATACAAAGTTAATATATTTTGCACACACTTTTTATTTTCTTCTATATTTCATCATCGTTGTTCACATTTGCCATTAATTAGCATTATAAGTCTTTTTTATTAAATTTAAATAAAGAATATCAGTTGATTATTGTGTCCACAAATATTCTTAAGATATGAGTTATTTGGGTCAACAAAAAATTTTGAAATATATATATATATATATATATATATATATATATATATATATATATATATATATATATATATATATATATATAGGAGGCGCTAGTGCTAGAAAATTTCAAGTCATCCTTATTGACTAAGTTTGATGGGCACATCGACCCGTATAAGCATTTTGCCTCCATCAACGCGTAAATGGAAATCATTGGAGCTTTTGATTCCTTGAAATGCAAGCTCCTCTTTAGAATTTTCGGATGAGCCTTTCTTGGTTCTTCATCACCAACTATCAGGACTTGGTGAAGAAACTAGTCCATCAATTTGTAACAAGACACAAAAAGATGGTTGCCACCAGCCTTTTCAACATTCTTAAGGCCCATATGAATCTCTAAAGGAGTTCCTCACTCGCTTCAATGAGGCGACGAGCTAAGGTCGTCGTCCTCAACTAGGAAATGTTCGTATGAGCATTTTAAAATAGGATGAGGGAGGATGCTTTAATGAGTCACTTGCTTATAGGCCCGCGACCTCCTTGGACGAGGTGCTGACATGAGCAAAATGTTATATAAAAGGGGAGGAAAGCAATGTCGGAAAAAAGGTCAGAGATGCCAAAAACGTACCTCTGGTAATCCTGATAACTCAAAACAGTCACAGAAGAGTCACTACACCTCACCCATCAATGATAGGACAATGTTCAAAGGAAGTGGGGAACTTGTAGAGAGCTTCACGCCTCTAAAACCTCTCCGTGAACAAATATGGCGAGAATTCCTCCACATGTATGCATGTGTATCTATGTGATTCCAAGTATTGTCAAGGTGATCCAAAGCGGGGAGTTTATTAACAACAAAGTTGCAATCAACTGATTAGTTGTTTGGTTTTGATGATGATAACATCTGGCATTAAATGATGTTTATTTAAGCTCTTATATATTAAAGATAGCTCAAGTGGCCAAATATGCTCAAGATATTTCATCAAGCTTCCTTCTGAAGATGCTCTTGAATATCAAGTCATCTCTTTGAAATCAACAATGTGGCCAAACGAAATTCAAGTAAGGACTTTTGTTTCAAGGTCCATCAGTGGTTTTCTCTCTCAACTCTCCGATGATGGTAATCAATTTGAAGATATATTCAAAATTCTTATGTGATGTTGAAGTCATGTATAATGATGCCAAGACTTAAAGTTTTAGAGTTTTGAAAGAGAGGAAGTCTAAAAGCTTATTTGATCGTGTCTGTCTGAGTTACCAATGTATTTTAAATGCACAAGGGTACTTCAAGAAATACTACGAAAAAGTCACACACACACACACACACACACTTGTTAAACTATCTAAAAATGTTTTAGAAGAGTTTTTACAACTGAATAATCTATTATGCCTAATCATCTAATCAATTATTTTTATCTTGTTTAGTATAAAATTGATTGGGAAGGTCTCTTAATGATTGGTAATAGAAAAATATCAAACCTTCCATTTGTGACTTGAATAATCCATTATTGAGGGCCAATAATCGATCGTCCTAATTGATTATTACAATTTATTTCGTCCATGAATTATTTCTAAACTGAAACCATAATCTAGCCTATAAATAGAGAGATTCTTTATCATTTCATTTAATCTAGAAAACGGGCTTTGATTACATTCTCACTCTTTCTCATTTTCTATAAACCTCTCGATTTCTCACATATATTTTGCCATAGTGCTTTGAGAGTGTTTTGTGTCTAAGTGAGGATCATTTTTTTGGGTGAGGGTTTAATTGTAATTTACCAATAGCATATTATCTCTTGAGTAAATTATTGTTGTATAAGAAGTTGTTCGGTTGCAAGCTAAACCACTAAAAACTCGTGTTTTTTTAGGGATTGTCTTATGAAGTCTCTACTTGGTTCATGAGTTTGGCCAAGAAGAAAAACTCTCTTTTAGTTCATAAAGATCAAACAATAAATATCAACAATCGTTCCTAAGCTCATTCCTATTAAAAGCTTTGATGATTTGAGATTAGCCTGTGTAAAATATCATTTTGGCTCTCGAGTTCAACATGGCGTATAACCTCACTTGGTTCGAGATTATCATGTGTAAAATATAATCTCGGTTCTGGGGTCAGTTCGTGTAAAACCCCGATTGGGTTCATAGGATAGCCGACATACAAATCTATCTCAGTTCAGAGGATAGCTATTGTAAAACTCTATCATGATTAGATACCAGCTCGTGGAAAATCTTTGTTTGATTTGTAGGATAGTCAGTCTAAAATATATTTGATGTTCGGTTAAAAGTTATTCTTTAAACTTTATATCATTATATAAGGGAGGTTCATGGGCATATCATATTGAAAGCTATCAATATTAGTGGATACTCTTAATAAAAGTTATTGGGGACAAGAGTAAGTCAAATTTGAGCGAACCTGTATAAATCTATGGTGTGTTTCTCTTTCCCTTATCTCTTTATGTTTTAGTTTTTTTTTTTCCTGCTGCTTATTTACAAAATAATTTCAAACTCTGATCTTACAAATGGTTTTGTTTTCAACCAACGTTTTTCAAACCTCCGAAATTCATCCCCCCCCCCCCCCTCTTGTTTATGGAGTCACATGTTTAACAAGTGACATAAAAGACTAATTCTTGTTTAAAATTAATCATCTCAAGAGGAAGATGACTTCCTACATTTCTTCAAACAAGAGAAATTTCCTAAACACACATCCACCATTTAATGATAGGTTTGATATATGGAAATATATATATATATATATATATATATATATATATATATATATATATATATATATATATATATATATATATATATATATATATATATATATATATATATATATATATATATATATATATATATATATATATATATATATATATATATATATATATATATATATATATATATATATATATATATATATATATATATATATATATATATATATATATATATATATATATATATATATATATATATATATATATATATATATATATATATATATATATATATATATATATATATATATATATATATATATATATATATATATATATAATGTTCATTGAAAGTTTCAATTTTATATTTGTGGGAAACAATAATCAATGGTTTGTTTATCCAAACTTACTATATCAATTTCAGTATTAGATAAACATGTTTTTCTTTGGACTGAAAAACACAAGAGAAAGTCCAAATTTAATTTTAAATCTAAAAATCTCTTGCTTATTTATTTATGTGAAAATAAATTTCTTTATGTTTTTAATTATAATTTTGTTAAGGAAATATAAGGTACTCTTGAAATGATCTATGGAGTATTTGCAAGTATCGAACAAGAGGGATTGAACACACGAGGCAAAGAAGTTAAAACACCAAATGAATATGAATGTTATTTTCACATATGGTGTTCAACCATTGAGAATTTCAGAAAACATGTTATAACTTTCATAACCAAAAAATATATAAGAGTTCAAAATTTCAATCAGAAACCTGATCAAATCCTTAAATCGAAATATGGAAGTGTTTGTGATTTTCAAGAAAAATCTAAGAAAGAATAAATAATCGAGAAACTTAAAGAGTTCAAGAATCCTAGAAGAATAATCAAAGATATCTTTTAAATAAGAATAAGAAATGTAAAATCTAACATCCTCCATTGAAAGAATAATTTCAGTGGACGAACGGTTCTCAAAATATTCATCGTCAAATAATGGAGAAACTCTACCGAAGGAGAATATATAAAGAAGATGAAAAAGTTTCATCTAGTGGAATCCTTGAAAGAAGATATAAGAAATAAGTCTCAATAATAAATATATTCATAAACTCAATATCACGGGGAAATCTTGAAGAATCAACTTCTGGTAGAATCTTTGAAGATCCTTCATCCAATTAAGAAATTGAACACATGTACTTGAAGGTCTCAAACAAAGAAGATAGTTGTGAGGTAACAACTTTACAATACAAGAAATTGTTTAGGAACATGATAAGATAGAAAATATCAAATTATATCTTAAATATTATATTGATTTTCTAGAGAATATAATGAAACGTTAAGATGTGAAATGACTAACATTAGAAACAAGGCTAATAAAACTCATATGTGTGTCTCTATGAAAAATGAAGTGAAAGAGTTGCATGAAATCATAACTAAATTTACTAAAGGTAAAGAAAACCTATATTTGATTCTATCAAATTAATGGTCTTCGTTGAATAAAATTGGATTTGATTTTAAATTGAGTAGGTCATGTAGTAAAAGCTTAAATAGGAACTGAATTATCATATTTATAAATGCTCATTCTATGATAATCTTGTCCATTTAGAGACATCTTTCTATAATAAACTAAGAAATTTTAAAGGTAATAACTCTAGACCTCTTAGAGTTACTAACGCGCCAATACCCAAAAAGATCTGGGTACCAAAGGTGAAAACCAAATTTATTTTGATGGAATGATTTACACATTTAATGGAACCTTAGTTCATATTAAATGAAGTTGTGCAAAGAAATCGTATACATTTGAGTATACAAGATGATATCGTGACTGATGGTATTTGATGATTCTGATGCTTGGTGTTATCGTTGATGGTGTATTTCAATGGAAGTGATCAAAGTATTCTCGGTGTTTTCAATATATGTCATGACTTATGACGATAAAAAATTGAGATAATGAATCTCTAACGGACTTATAGTATTGTGGTTATAACTAACTCTCTTGTAAAACGACTCGTAGAGAAGGATTTACGATGGTGTTTTGTCATTCCCTCGAAAGGGTGGTTGTTTTAAATTTTACTTGACGTCTAAGGTGTTACGCTTTTTTAGA